AGCCTCCGCCACCACCACCGCCTCCGTAATGTGCACCACCGCCGCCACCACTGCTGCCTCCGTAATTTGCACCACCACCGCCTCCAACAGCTCCTTCTCTGTAGGTTTGACGAGCTGTTCTGTTAGCGACAGGCACGTCTTTGAGAGAATGTACTTCTGTCCAGATGTCTTTAGCCGAGCCCTAAATTCACAATTCAGCAGAATGAAAATATTGCAGCAATTATTTTTGAAGAACGAAGAAATCAAATGAATCCTACCTTGCAGATATTGACCTCATTGTGAACCTGTCGCTTTACATGGTGCACATAGTTATACACCATGGGCAGGGTGATAAATACGGAGACAACAGCCACCACAGAGAAGGTAACCGACGCATAGGCGACGAAACGGTACGCCTTGATGCGCGCATCCAAATCCATGGTTGGTGGACTGGTGTTATGTCACTGCCGAGGAGTGCTGGCTTATATAGTCGGAGATTCTAAAAGAGGCAAACGCATCTATTCTCTACTTGTTAGTTGGGCAACGCCCACACGGAAACCGTTAGAAAGATTGTTAGGGACAAAGCAAAAGTAGGGTGCAACGCTAAAAGCCGGTCACACTGATATAGATCGTAGTTTGTCGTTTATGCATGTATGCACAAACAACACGCTAATTTCACTTCGTTCGTAGTGTCTTTTCCCTTTCGCGACTGTTGATCCAAACTGGTATAGCTTGCAACTGAAGTATTGAGCAGCTGATTATGTAGCGTGATAACCCTACAATTGTCAGGAAATTCTTTCTTTACTCTTCCTATCATTTTATTCAGATCAAAATTTGCTCTACTTTGCTGTTTCAAATAAAACAAAGCCTATTTCATTAATCGGCATCACTACAGCTTATGATTCGCGAATTTTTTGTCAATAAACCATTAGATGCTCAATTCATTATTCAAGGAACAAACATTACTTGGAAAGTCAACTACTCAACTACTTTACAGATAAAAATTGACGCATTTCCAAATTTTTGTAAAGCTCAAGCTTGGCTAAGGTTATCTGGATTAAACGACATTGATGTCGTTTATTACGTAGCGTGACATATGGATTATCAACACAGGGGGTCCCGAAAGTCAGTAAATACTTTTCTTTCGTTAATAACTCTCTTCCCACTGAGTCTTTTCC